TTTTTGATTTACTGTAGAGATGAGGTCTCGCCAAGTTGCCCAGGCGGGTCTCGAACCTGAGGGCTCAGGGAATTCACTCACCTCAGCCTCCCAAGGCGCGGGATTACAGGCTGAGCCACTGAACTCGGTTTCCAATTCCTTTCTTTTTTCTTTTTTTGAGTTGGAGTCTCACTGTTGCCCAGACTGGAGTGCAGTGGCCGCTCCCGGCCACCACAGCCTCGACCTGCTGGGCTCCGGCGATCCTTCTGCCTCAGCCTTCCAAGTAGCTGGAACTACAGGCACGCGCTACCACACCCGGCTAATTTCCAATTCCTTTCTTATAGTATTATAATTGTTCGAGGTCTGCTTATGAGTGAGAACATATGGTACTCTGTTCTTTGTTTCTGTGATAGATCACCGAGTATGATCGACTCTAAATCCATCCAAGTTATGTAAAGTCCATATGTTTGTCCTTCTTTATGGCTGCATAATATTCCATTGTGTGTATGTACCACATTTTAAAAATCCAGTCCAGCGTCGATGGGCAGCGTGGTTGGTTCCATGTTTTTACTATTGTGAATAGAGCTGCAACAAACATATGTGTGCAGGTATCCTTTTTGTAGAATGATTTGAGTTCCTCCGGGTATGTTCCCAATAGGGGAATTGCTGGGTCATATGGAAGGTAATTTCTAGTTCTTTCAGAAATCGCCACACTGTCTTCCAAAGAGGTTGCACTAGTTTGCATTCCCACCAGCAGTGTAGAAGCATTCCCTTCAAGAGACCCTCTCTTGTCTAGCTCCTCCATTCGTTTCTCCCCAAGAATGTGACTTCTACTTCAAATCCTGGAGGTATTGTCTTTAGATGGCCTCTGTTGAAATCATTTACCCGAAATCTTAAAAGGGAGCACTTATTTTTATTTTTGTATTTTAGAGTTGTGGAGTACCTGTGAGGATTTGCTACACAAATAAATTGTGTGCAGGTGAGATTTGGGTTTCTAGTGAGCCCTCTCTCCCCCTGGCAATGGACATGGTACCCAGTGGGTGGTTGTGTGCCCTTTACTCCCTCCCTCCTTTCTTCCATTAGTAGTGACCGGTGTCAGTTGTTCCAACCTTTGTACTTGCATGCCCAATTTTCAGGGCCCGCTTATGAATGAGAACACATAGTATTCAGTTTTTTGTTTCTGTGATAGTTCACTTAGAATGATGGTCACTTATTATGTGCCATGGGAGTATCACTTATTTTGCGGTAGTTATGGAAGTATGGAACTTTCATTTATTCTGTGATAGTTCACTTAGAATGATGGAGCACTTATCATGTGCCATGCATAGTGCTGGCAAATAAGCACATGGAAAGATGCTCAAGATCATTAGTCATTAGGGAAATGCAAACTAAAACCACAGTGAGATACCACTGCATGCCTATTAGGAGGACGAAAAAAAAAAACAAATCATAGACAAAACTGATTATATCAAATGCTAGAGGAATGTAGAGTATTTGGGCCTCTCATATATCGTTGATGATATGAAATGTCTTTAAGGAAAACAGGATGAAAATGTGTAATAATTTGGTTTCTTTTTTAGAATGGAGATTTTCTCCCAGGGACCAAAATTGTGTTGTAGAAGCAGGTTCTTACAGGACTAGCAACTAAAAACAGTAGTGGCCACATGCTGTGTGGTGACTAGATCATTCCAGAGTCAAATGAAGAACCTTGGAGAAAGACTGAAATTCCTGATCTCAACCTGATGAGTGCAAAGAAAGAAATTTATTTGACATTATTTTTTAAATTAAAATCACACATTTCTGGAAACAATTTCCTGTATTGAGAGAATACCCATCTCCTTCCAATTTTGATAAATTGATTACTTCTTTAGATCACTCCTAGTAGAAAGGAGTTTGTTGAATGAGCTCTATATCTGTATTTATATTTATGTATATCTTTGTGACCATTTAATGTAATTTGTCTCCCTTTGCAGGTGAACCTAGTCAAGGCAGAGGAGAGAAAGTTTCTGCCTAAGGTTACACAAGGTGGAGTCAAAACCAGCACCTCAGTCTCCTGGTGCCCAGTGTAGTCCAGTGAACACATGATGCTGCCTTTTAGCCAGCAAGCTTGTGTACAAATTGGCTGTACCCCAAATCAGTCATAGCAATCTGAGCTTCCCAGGATCAGTGACTCTTGGAGAGTATCTCCTGATAAGAGGGTGTATGTGGCAATAGGATTTACTGTACTTTTCACAATCAATACTGACTACTTCCCCTCATTAATGGCTTTTGCTTTCAGCAAGAGTAGGGCACCTCCCCAGTTCTGTCATTTCCCTGACAACTATAAATTACAGTCAAGGTTCCCTCTTATCTACACCTGACTCAGATCAATCCCCTGCCTTGGGAGCTCTGAGCAGCTCACTACACAAATGTTGCTATGGTTGTGCTTGCCTGACTGCTTGTCAATTTGGTTAATATAGGCAAATAAACTTATGCTCTCTGCCGTTAACTCCTGGAAGGGACCTGTGTGGACTTAATTGAAATTGAGAGCATCAAATAGTCTGAATAAACATACATTGTATTACACAAGGGAACTAAATAAACCTGAAAAGTAATCCAAAGTGATGGCTACTATATATAAGCGAGAGTCTCGGTCGTTATCTCATGCCTGAATTGCTCATTGGGAGGCCAATTTTTTGAACTAGAAAATGATCCATGATTGTACAATCAGTGGGACTGCCATCTGGTTGATTTCATTCCAGTTAGTTTGGCCAAATACCACCAACCAGAAAATAATCCATCTGATTGTGGTCATCTCTAATTGTCCTGACAGAATTGATTGATCGAGGACTTTCTCAGCCATGGAAACAGACTTGGTATTTGTATGGTTTTGATATTTAGGAATTTAGAAGGCTTTTCTCTCTACAAATAATTCAAAAGTTCAATTTTCTTTCTTAAATAAAACACAAATCTGCCCTAAGGCAGACGGTTTATTATATAAAATGTCACCTCTTACTTGTGTAATGAAATCACTCTGAAACATGCTGAAAATGATCTTCCTCATCTCTGCATCATCTTGGAGATGACCTCAATATCTACATCCCTTTTCATGTAGAACACCCTATGACTCCTGGCATCTCCCAGCACTTACAGGGGCCTATTCAAATGAGAGTCCCTAAAGTTTACTTGAAATAGAACAGGTACTCAACAAGTTGTTTTTTGGGTTTTTTTTGTTTTTGTTTTTGTTTTTTGCCTAGCATAGTGTCTGATGGGGTTCGGTGCTGGGGTGAATAAATCAGTTAAAGAGAGTAAAAAGTAGTCCTACCCTTCCCAAACGGTCTGTAGACAGAATGCCTACCTCTAAATAATGTAACAAGAGTGTCTGTCTGGGCATTGCTGATGTGGCTAGGGGAATGGCAAGGAAGCAAATAGCTTGCTTAGACTAGCCAAAATTGACTGAGACTGGCCAAGACTGGGAAGCCTAGGGGTATTAGTATGAGTGTTTGGGGAGGGGGTGGATGTGTCACACTTTAATGGCTACCATGACCCCTCTAACCCTCACAAAGTATGGACAGGAGGCTGTGCGCAACAGCAAATAGAAGACAAAAGGTGCAGGAAATCAGAAAGCAGTCAACTATATTAGATGGAACTAGTAATAATCATAGTAACTGCTATTTACTAAGTATCAGCACCTGTGCTTCATACTTTTCCATACATCATCTAATTTCCTCTTCATAATTTGTCTGTGAGAGAGATATCTCCATTTTATGCTGTGGAAATTAGGGCTTGAGTTGGTATAGAACCAGGCAATGTTCCCACAGTAGTTCAAGACACTCAAACTCTGGTCTTTCTGTATTCAGCATCAGAACTCCCTTTTATCCACAACACTATTAGCTGGAAGAAGAGTCTAGAAACATACAGTGCCACCTGTGGGGGTAGGTGAGGGGGAAATAGCTTCCAGGATACACCTTGGTACTTTTCACTAGGGAACTGGACAGAAGACATTTGTTTGCTATTGGGCAGAAGACCTGTGGGAGCACAATTGGCTTAAGCCACGACTAGGGCTGGACGTACAGGGTGGGACCAGGGAGATACCAGGCCAATAACCAACAGAAGTAGCCAGCACCAAGGAGAGTTGCAGAGTTCCTTTGCAATGCTGTTGGCTCCCTCATTTGCCCAAGGAGCGCCCCCAAGTCAAGCAGTCTATTCTGCAATGTAACTGGGTGTGGTACATGTGACCATTGCTGCTGGATTCTCGAAAGTGTGAGCAGTGTGTCAAGGAGATAAAGGACAAGGCTTCTAAGTTGTAGCCCAGTTAAAGCCCCCAGCTTCAACCCTACCCTGAATTATTGAGCAGTGGAAATAGCAGAGGCAGCTGTGAAAACAAGCAGCCTTCCTTGCTCATCTTGGCATTGAGTTACAGAGCACATCATTATTAGAGACAGAATCAGTAACATCTGTCTTTCTTGGCCCTTATTTAACTTATTCCAGTTATGAAGCCTCTCCATGTTTCCACTCTAACTACTGTAAACGATGCAAAAGAGGAGCAAGAGACAGAGGCAGAGAGAAAGAGTGAAGGAGAATTAATTTACCACTGGGTGGAGTGAAAATGTACTGAAGTGTAATGGAATTTCATTAACTTCGGAAATGATGATGAATGCTGTCCAAATAATTCTTACTAATGCATAATTCACAGCTGAAAATAGAGCCAAATTCTCCTAAAAAGCACATCCATTTATGCCCCCAAATTAATTTGGTGTGTTATTCAGGATGGTTGACAGGATAAAAGATCTACTATGAAATGTAATCATCTATTAAGATTGGGAATCTATGAGTCTTTCTGGTTTAGTAGATGATGGTAGCTGATAACAAGTGGCATCTTGAGAGGCAGACACCCACAGTCCTCGTTCTCATAATTTGAATCTCCCCAAAGACATCATTTCAGACATAACCACAGAGAAGTTTGGATGATCTTTGAGATCTCCATAGCAACCATGGCCCAATTCATATATATATCCCCAAAGCAAATTGAAATCAGTTTCAAAAGATTCAAAAGGGGTCAGGAAAAGGCCCATACTTTTTTTGGCTGGCAATGTCATTATTAATTAATTGATCAATATAATATGCTTATATAGTAGATAAATAATATAGATAATATATGCATTTACATATAATCAGGCTTAGAGATATTAACATCTTTCCCATTTTGAGTAAAACACTCTATCCCATTCCACAAACTCTCAGTGACATTTATCACTTAATGTCTCAAGATTATGAGCTTTTAAATAATCTCTTTATAAAAACCCATATATGCTTTTTGTATACTCAGGAGAGTGGTAATGGGAGAGAGACCTTTTCACCTTTCGATGTGACACAAATCCTACCTGTGGTTGGCAGAGAGTGAAGACTATTATTAAGTATGAGGCCAGTCATTGGTCCAGCTTCCAGCAATGAGAATCCATAGATTGAGAGGTCAGTCACCATCATACAAGCATCATAAGTTCTTCCCACCCATGATTCCATTCAGCCATTGGAGAGGACTTTGGTTAGACATATGAATAGTGCAGTCAGGGATGACTTCTGCAACCCGCTGAAATTCTTTCCTGGGGAAGGATACATTGTATCTAAGTGGCAGTGGTTTGGAGAAGTGCAAACCTTCCTGGGTGACCCTTATTTATCCTAATGGCCTGGGCCTATGATATGAGGTGCTTTGGTGAAATTTGAGTACATTGGCTGCTAATATAGAGGCTATGATTAAGTAGAAGAGTAGCCATTGGCCAGCTTTTACCAATGAGAAACTTTAGTAGAGAGAACATCAATGCTCACAGTAGAGGCATCATGGCTTCTCCCTCTCATGGGTCCCTTTAGCTAATGGGCTTGTTTAACACCCCAGAACCCCAAATCATAGTGTGGCCTGAAAAAGTAGTGCTCCCCTCCATGACACCTCCACATTCATACACTGCACTCTACCCAGGGGATGGGGGAGATAAATGAGGGAGTTGCAGAATTCATCCCTGGCATTACTGTTCACATGTCTGCACAAGGTGCTCTCTGAGTGGCTCAAGGCATACTTGGGAGGGAGGATCAATGATGCTTCCATCGTGAAGCATCGATGTCCTCTCTACTAAGGTTTCCCATTGGTGAAAGCTGATCAGTGGCTGCTCTTCTACTTAATCAAGGCCACTGTATGAACAAATAATGTGCTTGACCCTCCTCCCCCTCAGAACCCCAAGTCGTAGGGTTGGACCTTCAAAGGTAGAGGGGTGGCCCCAAAAGGCATTGCTCCCCCTACAATATTTGTACAGCAAAACACTGCATCCCCCTTACTAGGGGAAAGACTTGAGAGAGCTGCAGAAGTCATCATTTCTATTGCTAAAACGATCACTACTATAATACCAATATATCACTGTTAAAATATCATCACAAGGTGCTCTCTGAGTGGCTGAAGTCACCCTTGTAAGGGTAGAACCATGATGCCTCACTGTGAGGCATTGGTGTCCTCTCTACTAAAGTTTTCCATTGTACACTACCCTAGGGAAGGAGATCAGAGGGTTGTATAATTCATTCTTGGCCAGTGGCTGCTCTTCCACTTAATCAAGACCTCTGTGTCAGCAACCAGGGTGCTTGATCTCCAACTCAGAACCCCAAATCGTAAGCTTATGTAATTAAAAATTATAGAAGTGGTCTTATAAGATAGTGCACCCCTCAGTACATGGGTATCTACATACTGAACCCTCTTTAGGGGAAGAACTTGAGAGAGTTGCAGAAGTCATCACTTCTATATCAATACTATTACTACTACATTGCCAATATATTACTATTCAAATATCTTCATAAGGTTCCCTGGGTGGCTGAGAGGACTGATGTGAGGGAGAAGCCATGATGCTTCCATTGTGAGGCATTGATGTTCTCCCAAACTAAGGTTAGCCATTGGTAGAAGCTGGCTAATGGCAGCCCTCCTACTTAATCACAGCCTCTGTGTCAGCAGCCAGTGTGCTTGTTTATCACCCCAGGACCCCATATCATAGGATAGAATCATTAAGAGGAATAAGGGTGACCCTGAATGCAGTGCTTCTTCTATGACATTTCTACATCCACACCCTGCACCCTACCCTAGGGGAAGGAGATCAGAGTGTTGCATAACTCATTCCCGACATGACAATTCACACATCTGCATAAAATGCATTCTGAGTGACTGAAGGTACCCTTGGAAAAGAAGAACCATGGATGCCTCTATTGTGAAACTTTGATGTTCAAGCTACTAAAGTTTCCCATTGGTGGAAACTGTCCAGTGTCTGCCCTTCCACTTAACCGAGGTCTCTGTGCTTGCAACCAATGTGCTCGATCTCCACCCCAGAACTCCAAATTATAGGATAATGTCATTAAAGTGTATAGGGGGGAGTCTTATTAATAAAATGTAGTGCTACCCCTATTACATCTTAATAGTTAGAGGGGACATCAATGCCTCACAATGGAGATACCATGTGGGTCCCCTCAGTCTCTGATTTATAATTTTGTGTTGAATTGTGAATAGTGACATAACAGTTACAGAAGTGATCACGTTGCAGCCCTCTCAAGTCCTTCTCTTAGGTGGGTGCGGTGTGTGGAGGTGCAGATGTCATGGGGTGAGCACTACCTTATCAGGCTGCCCCTATACCCAGCCCTGAGTGCAGTGACATGAACGCTCATGGCCACCACAGCCTCAACCTGCTGGGCTCCAGCGATCCTTCTGCCTCAGCCTTCCAAGTAGCTGGAAGTACAGGCGTGCGCTACCACGCCCGGCTCATTTTTTTTTTTAATTGTAGAGATGAGATCTCGCCAAGTTGCCCAGGTGGGTCTCGAACCCGCGGGCTCAGGCAATCCACTCACC